GTGGGGGCTCGAGGCTCTCCCGCTCCGAGCTGAGGTTCGTGGGCGCGGGGTTTTCCCTCGCTCCGGGGTCGAAGGCTCCTCTCTGGAGCTGCGCACGTCGGCGATTGACCGAGGTTTTTCACTTTCTGAGAATCTTTACAGGCATCAGAAAAACGTGCTTCTAAGCAGATTACCACACTTGATGTCTTATTTTTGTGGAGAGCACGTGTTTATCCCTTCAGTTCTGCACTTCTGGCCTTTGTGTGGGTTGGGATGAAGGAACATCATCGTGCATTATCCCCTAAGCTCTTTAGCTGCCACCATCGCGGAAATACAAGATTGCAGTTGGGAAAAGTTTATAGCTGTTTAGAACTGTTAGTGTTAGAATGCCTGTAGGGGTGAACAACTGTACCAGAGAGACACCCTGAGTGCTGTGCAGACTTACTTGGAAACATCTGCAAGAGGCAAAAGTTGTCGTAGCTCATATAATTTTTCCTTTCCAGACTAGTAATTTCCTTGTTCACATGATCTCAAGCCAGAGTATTTACTTTGGGGAAGTGAAGTAGGGTATTAGGATTTTTTTTATTCTGTGTTTCATATCCCACTGACTTTTAAGCCACCGCTGCTGGGTCATTTTTGTTCTCTCTTGGTATGGTCTGGTAAACTAGTTCCAGCCCTAGAACACTCTGTGGTAATGTGGTTTATATTTTAAGTTTCTGTATACTGTAAACCCAAGGTAATTGGTCCTGGGTCCTGTTATCGCTGCCCGTTTCTTACAATTTCTGTTATAGCTATAGAGGCAGTTTTTCTCCTGGACACTTCTGAATAGAAAAGGGAATCCATTTCACAAAGTTCACTAGTGATCTTTCTAAAACAAATTTTAATCAACTTCTGGCTGAGCAGAGGTAGGAGTAGGGTTTGTAAACAAAAGACTGGCCTGATTTTTTTCCTGCTTAGGAATTTCTCCAAACAATTTTTCATTTATTTGGTAACAAATGCACCCTCTCTGTGCTGGAGAGGGAAATTGTTTGAGTTGAATGCTGAATTAAGATGATGGTACTTGTTTAGCAGAGCTGACTCCCAGCCTTCTCCCTGCTTTTCTCGTAAGGGCAGAGTTCAGCACTTTCTGGAATGGCTTTATGAATCTTAAAGGTCTTTTCCAACCTGAGATCATGAAGTGTAGTTGATCCCCCAGGACTGCCAAGTCCACCACTAAACCATGTTGTTAAGGGCCTGGTCTGCACATTTTTTTTAACACTTCCAGGGATGGTGATTCTACCACTTCCTTGGGAGGCCTGTTCCAATACCTGACTACTCTTTCAGTGAAGGAATGTTTCCTAATACCCAATTTAAACCTCCCCTAGTACAGCTTGAGGCCATTTCCTCTTGTCCAATCACTTGTTCCATGGGAGAAGAGACCAGCCACCTCCTCACTCCATCCTCCTTTCACGTAGATGTGTTACCAGGACCAAACTGACCCTTTCTGATTTCTGGGATAATTTTGGACCTGTCTGCAGGCTTTGTTTCCAGCTTAGACATTTCATTGTTAGTGTGCCAAAGCATGAATTATGAATTCAAGTAGTGCAGGCTCCTAATGGAAGAAGAGTTAAGTGTTACCCATAGCAGGGACAGCTAAATTGGGGCTTGGAGCTATGTCATCCATATGTAAAACTTAGAATCGGTGTACCTCTGCCACTGACAGCCACCTTCATGATTCTCACCTTATTCCCTGCATCTTTTTGAGGTGATGCTGAAGCAGCACAGATTTCGAAAGCTTCTTCAGAATAAGGGAGCAGACTTGAGGTGGATATCTGTGCTCCTATGAGCAGAAACCCCTACACAGAAATGACATCTGTTGAGTGAGGAAAGCTGTAGAGAAGGCAAAACAGACTACATGCGGTGCAGGATTTAAACCCATAGTGTGTATCTTTGCTTTCCAGTGTGCATGAGAAGATAGTCTGGAAGCACATAGGTAAAAGGGACAGAAGCCTGTAGAAAGGAAGACTGGTTCTGTGAGAGCTCTGATGGCCTGGCTCAGCTGTCTGTACTGCAACTCTTGCGGTCCAGGAGCTGACTCAGGAGGCTGCATTATACCAAAAGCAAGCTCTAATGTGTGTGTCTCATTGGGTTGTAGCTCTTGCAAAGCATGTAAGTTATGCTCCATGGGAGCCTGCATTGCAGATGTACTTTCAGATGCAATTTTTTGAGTCTTGCTTCTGAAAGACTTTAGCTCAAGGACTGATTTATTTTCATGGATATTTTGGTGGTTTAATGTAGAAGATTTAAGCTCTTCTATAAGAAGCTGCTGAGCCTGCCTGTGTGGTGTTAAAGCTCTCAATTTGAAATGAGGGTGGCTTGCTTTTTTTGTATTTTAATCTCCCTTCAAATTCTGCATACTTGTTATAGAGCAAATTTTATTTGGCTTCTCTTATTGCTGAGACTACATCTGATTTAGAGCTCTTTTTTCAGAGTGTTGGTATAAATGTAACCTTGGAATACTTTACTCTTGGCCTCATCTTCTCTCCAGCATTATCATTTTTAACAGTACTGATGTCAAAAAATAAGTTGCATTGCAAGAACACAGAGGAAAAAAGACAAATCAGCTAGCAGTTGCCAGTGATTTTTAAGTACTGCTGTAAGTTATATTGAGATGTGAGGATATTATTGTGCTTCAGAAATTACTAATTTTTACAAGTGTTTTGATGATAGTGCCTAATCAAAATGCAAAACAGGGGTTTACTCAAACTGAGTACGCCTAAGCTGAATGAAGGAGAAAGGTGAAGAGTAACACGTTGTTCATCTACATGGTTGTGAAAGATAAATGGGGTCCTGTTCTTGTAAATCGTTTTTTTGGTAAATAAACCAAATCTGTTTTCTTATTTTGGTGTATGTATGTGTGTCTTCATTCTGAAATGATTCTGTACACATTCTGAAGAGGAAAAGTAGGATTACTTTTGTTGGGGTTTTGGGGTTTTTGTGGTGTGTTGTTTTTTGTTTTTTGTTTGTTTTTTTTTTTATATCTTCGTTATAGTTTTGACTTTTTGTTTGATATTTGGGATGGGTTTTGTTTGGGGTCTTAAAGCAGTACAACACTGCAACTTCATTCATAATGATAGCTCTGAAATGTCTATAGTTTTCCGTTTCATTGTTAGATGTACCCTGTCCAGTACCTTGTCATTAACATTTGACTTGCCTGATTTGTTTTCATCTGGCAGAGAGGAACATCTTGCTGTCTTTGTGCGAAATAAAGCAAAGCCCAGCAATTTTCAGTTGGTGTCTCTTGGCATTTGCTCACTTAACAGAAGTACAAAATCATTACTTAATTGGTTGAAGAATTGTTTTTGCTCACTCAGTTTACCTCTCTATCATTATGGTACTGGCAATTAAACTAGTTGGGGTTTTTTTGGTTTGTTTTGGTTTATTTTTTATTAAAGTTTACTAGTTTCTGCTTTGAATTTGTGTACCATTTACAGTATGGTGTCTGGTACCAAGAGGTTGCTATGGTGGAAATTGTCACATTTTTCAGTGTTGGAGTCTAGTTTATACAGAGTGTTTGTTGTATGCCCTTGTGAGCTTTTGATACTCTTATTTTGTGCAGGTGACTGTATTTGGGTGAAGGACCAATTGAGTCTAATTCTATTTAGATAGATGCAGCTGTTACCTGACATCAGGTGATTGAAGCTGTAGGTGAAAGAAACCAATGACTGTTTGATTTCAGTAGAGGATTGGTTATTTTATTCAGTTTCTTTAATGGGAAGAGCTCAGGTTGCACAAATGTATGTATAGGGAGTTTCAAAGCTGCTGAAATACTGTTTTTTTTTTTCTTACAGTAGATCTCCAGAAAAGCGTGGAAGATGAAATTGAATCAATTCTGCAAGAGCGGATAATGGTTCTGGATGGAGGCATGGGTACCATGATCCAGCAACGTGCCCTGTCAGAAGAGGATTTCCGAGGGCATGAATTTAAAGATCATTCCAGGCCTTTGAAAGGCAATAATGACCTTCTCAGTATAACTCAGCCTGATATAATTTGTGACATACACAAGGTAGGTATTCTGATTTCCATCTCTTCACAAGGGAAGGAAAGAAAATTGGGCCTGTACACTCCCTTTTTCCATGCCACAGGCTGCTGGCTCTCCTGTCTTTCTGGGATAGGGGAAGAGAATGCTAGGTAACCATGCGAAAACGAATGAGCAGATTTGACTGTTCTGGTTGTGTGAGCACAGCATTCGCGTCTTGGTTTCTGATGTCTCCCAGGCAGTGTTGTTTTTAAATCCCTTTTTGACTTATGTCCCTGATGCATTTCTGTTGCTTGCAGATTCTGATTTATTTAATTTTTCTTTCTTTTTCTCCTCCTCAAGAGCATTTGATATGCATCTAAGTAGGACATATTCTGGAATTCTGGGTGTATGTTTCCATAATTGCGTATTAAAGAGCTGTTAAATGTGGCAGCCTGAAGCAGGCCTCTCCACAGTTAATGACTATCTGGGCTTCCTAATGAGTATATGTGTTTCCGTATTCTCAGATTTTCCCTAGAATATTGCATGGCCCAGAGAATAAAAGTCTAGGGTTTATCATTAGGAATTTGCAAACAGATTTTACTATCTTTCTATCTCCAATTAGACATTAAAAAGCAAATTCCTAAGTTGTGTATTTTTTGAGTTGCAGGTGTTTATTGCTCTTACTGTAATAATTGGGAGTTTTGAATAGCATTTCAACTAGTTGATAATCAGTTGGAACAGAGCCTCATATCTGTTCTGAGTTTTTCCAATAATTTATTAAAAGATTTGTATTTCTTTGACTAGAATCATAATTGGCTTATGTTTGTGAAACTTGGTATGTAGCCTGTATTTTTATATTCTTCCTGTCATTCTTTGTCATTAGGAATGATGTGTTAAAAAAAATAGTCCTTGTCCTATAAAACTTTCATGAGGAAATATTTGTAGATTGAGTTCAGTCCCTAGACTATCAACTGAACTGTAGTGGTCATGAACGTTGGAATTTCTGATAGCCTGTGGTTTTAATTGGGTAAGATGGTTTAACAGTCAAATTTTGTAGGTTTTTGCTCTCTGGTAAAGAGCATAGTGATGTGACTTGAGAATGAATGTATTGAGTCCCCATGCCTGCAGCAACCTTTGAGTCAGGTGCTTTCTGAGCCATGGGTGATGACTTGGCATTTTATAGATTCCAGTGGTTATTTCTTCTGAGAATCGGACAGAACTTGAAGTAATAGATTAAAATATTTCTACAAAGTAACTGTAATCCCACTAAATGTATGGTTAATGGTGGGATTTTTTTGTTGTTGTGGTGGTTGGTTTGTTTTGGGGGCTTGTTTGTATGTTTAGGGTTTTTGTTTGTTTTTGCATATTTTTTTTTATCCTTAATGGCACTTTGACTTATTTCCTTAATGAGTCAGATCTCACAGGTATCAGTAACTTGAAAAGTAAACATCAGCTGTACCTTGTCTGGCAAAGTTGGATTCAGTGGTAAGAGAGGTGATGTGTTTTCAAAGGCAAAAATGATCTTCCTGCTTTGAGCATATTATTTCCTTTATTGTGGTAGACAGTAAAGTTGAAGGGCTTTTGCTAAAATGATAGATCTGAACTAAACCAAAGCTAGTATAAACCTGTACACATTTAACATCTCTCTTTAGTCTAGGTGATTTTCAGAAACTTCATTACTTGGTTATTAGTACATGTAAGACTTAGTATGTTTTCATATACCTATTTGTAGGTGTTTCCGTATGTATCTGGGAGGAGTTGAGAGAAAGCATAGTTTGCACCAAAACATGTTTTAAAGAGATTTAATTCTTTTCTGCTGTTGTTTGGATCAAGACTTTTATTTGTCCTGTTGAACCTGCTGAGCTCATCTGTTTCTTGTAGGAAAATCCAAGTGGTTTATTTTTAATGTATTTCTGACTTCCTAGCATTTCAGATCTCCTAACTTTCTTGAATATGCAGGGGTCACTTAAGGTCACCTGATTATAAGAGGTTTTGGAGAGGGAGGAGGGCAACTGATAGAGGTTATAAAACCACAGGCTAGAATCTGAAAAAGTATTTCGGCTTGCATTGATTTCAGCTTACTTCAGTGGGAATTAGACAACCAAAATGGAACAGAAAGCTTAATTGCGTTGTGAATCTGGGCCATTAGTTAAACTTTAAATGTGGTCTGCACAAAGCATAATTCAGTTAAGCTTGTAATCTGTCCCAGTATGCTCATGTGCTGTACAGCTCTTTCAGACTGTTTAAATTCTCTAATCCTCTGTTGTTGTCTAATTGGTGCCTTTTCTGAGTTTGCCCACAGCAGCCCTCACTTGCTGATGGCATTTGGACTATGTCCAACCATGTCTCTGTGCAAAAATCTAGAATGTGCTCCAGGTGCTGGACCTGCTCGTAGAGGTGATTCTATAAATGTCAGCTGTTAATAGAAAGTGTGGCTGACACAAGCATCCCAAAAATTGGTTACGTGAAAGAGTTCTGTTGCTTTGGCCTTGGTCTGCTTCTGAGTAAGGCCTTCAGAGTTTGATGTGCTTTGAATTAGGAGATGATGTGTGACTTTTTGTCAACTGAGTGAGACAAAGAAGTTGTGTTGCTTTCATTCCGTATCTCAGATCTGGAGGTCTTGGAGGTTTTTTCTTTCATGTCTTGCAGGAATACTTGCTGTCAGGTGCTGACATCATTGAAACTAACACTTTCAGCAGCACCCGAGTCGCACAAGCTGACTATGGCCTTGAACATTTGGTAAGAATGCTAAACTGTTGATACATTAAAATATTAATAAAGATTTCTGTTTTAGCAACCAAGATTAGCTTAGTCCCAGAGTTTATTGCTATTGTGTTTATTGACTGCATGCTGCCCCTTGAGCCACGTGATGGGGTTGTAGCTCATTTCCACTGCTCTGGACAATTGTATTTGATGTGTGTGATAGTCATAGTGTGCCCCTTGTTAATGAAGGCACAGGCAATAATAATTTGTCCTAGATTTTGTTTGAACATTCACAGAATGTTGCAGTTCTGTGGAAGGGGACGTTTTGCTTCAGTCCTTCCAAGTTGGTAGTGTTTGGTTATTTGTGTGGGTTTTGTTCTGAGTATGTAGAAGTCCTTTCAAGCTTGCATTTGTCAGACTGATTCTGTGTTCTGTGTTGGTTTGAGAATTTGAGAAATACGTGAAAGAAAATGCTTGGAAATACACTACTTGAATAAAAAGTTAATTGAAAAGTATGTTAATATTGTCCTCAAAGTCCTGTTCTTCAGCATCTGTTGACTTCAGCAGATTTAACTGGTGCCTTAGAGAATGGAATGTTAGGATAAGCAGCTGTAGGCTGGGGCGTACGTGAGATGAGACCTGCTGTGTGACTGTTGCTGAGATGCATAGAGCTGTTCCTTTTAAAGCTTTGTAATAGTGCTTACATGTGTTTGCATCACTTAGAGAGCCTTCAGAGTGTACTCTGAGCTACTGAATGGAAGTGTAGTGTTTCTTTGAGATGGGTTATGCTCTACTGAACTAAAGGTTACCTGGTAATTTTCTGTAATTGTTCCAGGCATATCGGTTAAACAGAGTCTCTGCACAGGTGGCCAGAAAAGCAGCAGATGATGTAACTGCTCAGACAGGTAAACAGTAATGATTTTAATTTCTTATTCTTCTGTGGTTTTGACTTTTGTGGTCTTTGTTACAATCTTTGAAAAGTTGCTAACTAGAGGGTGGCTTGATGGTTTACTTCACAGGGACACGCAGACGCACTCTTCAATTTAGGCACAGGAGCAGTTTTGCATCTCTGTTCATAGAGCACTAATTTGAGCATGTTTGCAGGTTCTGGTCCTTTACTGTGTTCTGCAGGATGCCTGTCCTGTGCCTGCCAGTTTTAGACTGCAGGCAACACATGTATTCCAGATGTGTGTTATAAGCTGCTTAGGTTTGTATGGTGCAAGTCTTTGTACTTCAGAGATAGGATAGCTGATTGTAGGTAAATGTGGATTACCAGTTACTCCTAATGGTTTTACTTTACTCAGCAACTGCTGGACTGTGCTTAGTATGTGACTGTCATCTGTAAATATGCAGTCTTTTTATCTTCAAGGCTTTACGTGAGAGGGTTGTAGCTCATTCACACTGCTGTAGACACTGCTGTCTTTTCAAAGACAAGTAATTTCCTCTTGTATTCTAGCATCAAACTGTATTTCAAGCTAACAGCACTGCTGCTTCTGTCCAGATAACACCTTACTGATGTGATTCATAGTTCCATAGCCAATAAGTGTTCATAGGCAATATGATTTGATTTGCCAAATCAAAAAGGTTTGAAATATGCTTTTAAAAAAGTGGGGTTTATGAACAAATGCCAAAATATTCAAATCAGGTTATCTAGTGAAGAATGCCAGGACAGGTCTGTGCTGTGCATTTACATTAATTGAATGAAGCTTCCTGTGTCAGAGACAAATGATACTTAAAAGAAAAATTAATTGAGGCCATTGCCTTTTTTGTAGATGTTCTTCTGTCTGGTGTTTATGACTGAACATCTTGTTGAATAGGTCTAAAAACAAAAGTTGGCTGTGCTGGGTAATCTTGTGTGGATCAAACTCTTGATTTGAGACAGGAGTTTTGTGTTTTATGGTTCTTCATCTCTGAATGATATGCATGTCTTGGTGTCTTTGGACGGTTTTTACATTGACATGGCTGTCATTGTTAAACCAGAGGTAAATTGTTTTGGTAATTTTTTCCCCTTTTTTATTTAATCTTCACGCTCTCCCCGTGTCTTGATTTAGGAATTAGGAGATACGTTGCTGGAGCCATGGGTCCAACAAACAGGACACTCTCTGTGTCACCATCTGTGGAGAGACCAGATTACAGGAACATAAGTAAGTGTTTATAACCATTGAATTATTTAACTTAGGTGATGGTCTTGAAAGAGATACCTCTAGATGAAGTTAACATCATTCTTATTTTACAGCTTTTGATGAACTGGTTGAAGCCTATAAGGAACAAGCCAAAGGACTTTTGGATGGAGGAGTTGATATCTTGTTAGTGGAAACCATATTTGATACAGCCAATGCCAAGGTCAGGCTCCTAGAATAAGAAATACATAGTAATATAAGTATTTTGTGTACTACCTAAGGAAATTCAGCATAGTGCTCATAAGAGGTATCAGGTACTGGTTACTAAATACGTGAAAAGACTCTTCAGTTGATAGCAAACAGGTAGAATGTAAGGAGATGGTTTTTAATTAGCTTATTCCAGCATTTTTCCTTTGTCTTTTAATATGTGCTGTTTGTATCTTTCTGGCTGTCTGTGCTAGTTGTCCTCTTATTCCCAGAAGCTCCAAATGCATCTGATATTTGTGTTTTTCAGCATAAGCATGTCTGTCCAAAGGATAGTGATGCACACTGTAGAGGAAATGTCCAGTGCATCTGACTGCAGGCATGGGAAGGCTTGTGAGACAGCCCTATTAAAATTTGGGGATTTGGGAACTCTGACATTCTGCCATCAGCTTTGAAAAATAACAAGTGGCAGTAGAGGGTTAGAAGGATAAAATAGGAAGATGTTGAAATATTCTATAATTCATGTGATTTTTGACACCTTCTTTATTAGATAACTGCTTAGTGCAGGTGGTGGTGGTGTTGGGGGCTTAAAACTGTCTTGCGGTTTTACATGGAAGACTCTAGCTGGATACGCACACAGTGTTTCTTGAGACTTTTGCCACAGGCTGATTAACAGGTGCAGTGGCATGAATTGTCCTTTGCAGATTTGACCAGATCTCATGGAGGTTTGGCTAGTGTCCTATGGCTTAACATAGTGCTGAGTTTGTGTTCGCATGTAACTTTCTTACCCTAAGGAGGCAGAAAGTTTTCAGGGTCTTCCAAGGGGCCACTGCAGTCCTTATTGTTAAAATCTGTGGTGGTGAGAATCTTCTGCGAACTGAATGTCTGAACAGAATCAAGGGCAGTGGATGTGTACTGAGAACAGCAAAACCGTGGTTGGGGCAGGGGTTGTGCTGCAGGTGTGAGGGAGAAGTACATGCTGATGTTATTTAGGTTTCAGACTAGTTTTGGGCTTACTTGGTTACTTCCTTTCTACTTGTGTTCTGGAATATCTGTTAGGGGTAAGGGTACAACCTCTTGAGTGTAGCAAGAAAGCAAACCCACACAAACAAAAAACCCAACAAACTGAAAAATTCTCAAAATGTCCATTAATATTTTGCACCTTATTCTTCTATAGGCAGCTCTTTTTGCACTCCAGATGTTGTTTGAGGAGTATGCTCCCCGACCCATATTTGTAAGTATATATTATTTATTTAATATGTTACATACACTTAGGCTTGATTTGCGAACTAGCTAAGGTGGCAGTTGATTAAAGTGTTTTGAAATAAAGGAAATAAATGTCTTGGAAATGTACTTTTTTCACATGATGGTTAAAGAAAAAACACCTGATGTTCCATTGTGGCAACAGGAATAACATATTCAAGGCCAGCCCCATTCCCTTTCTCTCTGCACATTCCCCCCCCCACCCGCCCCTGTTTTTCTGTTTAGGTTGTGCCTCAGCACTTTGAGTGGTGCACACATCCCTCTGCTTCGACTTTCAGCAGTTAGCTGTTGAAATAGTTTTTATTGTTAATTTAATTCTTCTCCTTTCTCTGTATTCAATGATACTTAGGTTTCTGGAACTATTGTGGACAAGAGTGGCCGTACCCTCTCAGGCCAGACAGGAGAGGCATTTGTCATCAGTGTTTCCCACAATGAGCCCCTTTGGTAAGGAAATGTATCTTTCCTGTAGTAAGTTGTCTGTAGGTTGTGACTTGTGTCTGTTTTACCCCCTGGCTTGCAGCTGAATGGAAGCTATACTAACTGTGATCATATTCAATCGTGTATTGCTAACATGTTCTGCTATCATATCGTTAGCAGAAATTATGTTTCCAAAGAACACTGAATTTTTAAAACATTGCTCTAAATAATTGGGGCTTTTATGTTTGCAGCAGCTGCTGAATAACAATTGGGTCAAAGCATCAAAAAAATAATTCTGAAACTGTAGTTTGCCGTCTCCTACTGCCTCAGATTGTGTGAGGAGCTAATTCCTAGTACGAGCAAGGTTTGCATCGCTCTCTCAGAGGGAAGCACTGCCAGCTCAGAATGTTTTAGCTTTGCTTCGAAGAACAAATCATAGGATTTCATTCCAGTGTCTTAATTTACTGAACCCTTACAAGCATATATATATATCCGTGAGTGTTTCTCTCAAGGATGTGCATTGTTATTTTGATAGCTCCTGATGCCTCCATTTACTTGCACTCTTTTCTGTTCAGGCAGAAAAGTTGAAACGAGTATGAGATTAAGATCTGTGAAAACACGTAATATAGCAGATTTTGGTCACTGTGCAAGGTTTTGCATGTTAATTTGACTACTGTTCCCTGTTGTTCTATTCTTCTCAGCTTCTGTGTCCTATTCTAACTCCTCCTTTCCTTCTCTTTCTTCTTTACCATTTCTTCTCTCAGGCTGGTTCTTCACATGAAAACTTACACTGGAAATAGATGTTTTTTTCCCTAGCATATTCGAATTTAAAACATTTAATTCACTGTTAGCAATGCACACCATGCACATTGTGATGAGCCATTGTTTGTTTTTACAACGAAATTCCAGCTAAAATGTGCAATCTGTCATCTCAGTGATACAAAAGCAGAAGACTGCATTCACAGCTTTCCTGACTGCCCTTGAGGCTCCACTTTCCCAGACCAGACGGTGCTCCAGAAGTAACATATGGAGCCTCTTGGAACAGGGTGATAGTTGACTCCTTCTCTCAGCATCACAGCCTAGTCATCCATTCTTGGCATGAGTCTGTCTCAGATAATCTCTTGCCTCTGAAGAGGAGAGAAGGGCACTGAAGCAGAAATCAAGAATTTATTAAACCATATTTTATAAAAGCTAACTTATGAATCTGAGTGCTTGGGGCCTCTTTCTCATTTCTGCAAAAGCTACTATACAGCACTGTGGCAGAAGGGTTTTAGTTCTGGGAGCAGATTGCATTTAATGTTTTTTCTCTTGCCAAATTGGTACAGAGAGTCTTTAGGGTTGTGAAAAAGCTGATTAATAGTAGTATCCTAGGATTCATGTTATACATGCTCCCGTGTTTCCATTTGGGTTTTGTATGTCCTGTTTAGTGTGATGTGTTGTCCTTAAGACAGTTTGGTTTGGAGTCCCCACTCTCCCCCTCTCAAAGTGTATGCTTTGTGTCTGGTTGATACAGGTAGTAGCTGAGAAACTCACGAACTGTGCTTCGTAAGTGCTGAAAGATGTGTGGCAAGCTGCTTGCTATAAAAGGTGCTCAAATGTGGAATGGGTTCTCTTTGTGTTATTTGGGATCCTGTGATTGTTTCTTCTGTGGTAGCATTAAGAAGACATACAGAGAGTTTAGGGCCCTAATGTGGTGTTTGTTCTGGTCCCAGGGGTGCTCTGCAGCCTTAGCTTTCACAGGAGCTGATGTGTGACTGTTGTGAACAGATGAGCAAGGGAGGGAGGTGATGTTTTAAGATGAGGGTGTGATGGTTATTACACTAGGGTAGCAGTGGTAGCATACTAGCAATGTGGTTGAAGGCTGATAGCTTTTAAGGCATGGTTAATGGTTTGCTTTTCTCAAATGTTTTCTTTCATGATGCTGTTCAGTGCTGTGGGGAGATGATACCAGCCATAGAAGATACTCTTTGTTTCTGAATGAAATGTGCATGTCTGTGTGTAGTTTGTCATGACAATTTTGAAACAGGTAGAGCTTGAGAGTGTTCTGCTCATAGATGTATTTGTCAGCAATCCCTGTACTGGGTAATCGTGCAGGCAGTCTGGAGGGCCAGTACCCAGTAAGTCAAGCGAGAACATCAAGAAATGCTTGTTTGCTGAGTATGTTAGGTGCTTTTACAGTATCTCTCTAGTAAGGTGAGGTAAAGAGAGTGACAGGTGAGTTTGAACTCAGAACCAGAGGCTGATTGGGTATTAAATATGGAATGGAGAGATGAAGCTGCTTAGCACAGGAAGGAGCTTAAAAAGAGGGTATAGGGAGTGTGAGCTGGAAGCTTGTAAATTGGATGGCTCAACAGTAGGAAAGACATTGCATTCATCTATATCTGATAAGGATGGTCCTGTCAACCATTCTTACCTTGCTTTGCTTTGAAAATCCTGAGAGATGAGCCCCACTTTGAAATAAATTCCAGAACCTCATTGCTGTAATTAATTGTGCATTCCCTGTGCATGCTGTTTATATCCAGGAGAACTGTATGAAGGATTTAAATGTATATAAATACCAAATAGGAAAATGGGAGTTAAAGGGTTCTTTTAAGATTTTTCTGTTTAAATAGAATGGCCTGTATGGATGCATTAGAGAAAGCACTTCAAAGGTAGAGCTGGCTGCTTCAAAAGAACAAGCATACATGCCTACCTGCTCCTAGAAAACCCCAAACCAACCCACCCCTGAGCTACTGGGAGAAGGGATTTGTGTATTATTTGGTCTTGGTATGTGACTGTGTGCTGTTCAAGGCCCTGGTTTTGAATGTTGCTGTGAGCCCTCAGATCTCAGGGATTTGTCATTCTGTCCAGAAGTGATACTGGCTGCAAGCATTTACTACTACGACTTACGAAGTTACTAAGCCCCTGCCTGCTCCTTGGAAGAAGGAAAAAGGTCAAAACCATTTAGCGCTTCCAGTCCTGTTCAGGGCTTTGTTGGTTTTGTCCTCTGGGAAACTAAGTGGGCATGCATGTAACTTATTAATTTAGCTATCTGTGAGGCAGCCTTTGTATCTCAATTAGTTGGGAGATATGGCTGTTACCCATTCCTGTTTCAGTGGGTTAGCTTGCCATTTCCTCTGAGACTGCTATTCCAAGAAACAAGAAAACTTTTTGACATCTTCCTCTTCCAGCAGCACTGTGAGCACCTTTTGAATTTTGCATCCCTCCTAAGATGGTTTCTAGCATGGTGCAGAGAGATCAGGAAATGTATGTAAAAGGTCTTTCACATGCTTTCTGAAAGAGAAATTTCCCGGTTTAGTATCAATGTAGACATTTCAAGTGCCAGTCACATTTATGTATATCTGTCATTCAATGAAAGAAAGCACAATTGTACCTTATATGCTGTAAAATTGTTTGAGAAGCTTATTCATGCAAAAATACTTCTATAGTGATGTCTTGGTTATTAAGATGTAGCAGATTTAGGTGCCCAAGCTTAATGCTGCCATGACGCATCTTGGGGGATATACTTGGTTTCCTCTAAGATTGACATAATTAAGAACATTATGACTTAGCAGCTTGAAACAGGTCTTGCTTTTTTAGCCTTTCTCTTATTACTTTCTGTAGCACAAGGCTCATTTCCAGTCTGTCATTCTCATTCCACTTGTTCTTTTTCTCACCTGGAAAATACAGAGCCGTCATGTTGCTGCAGTTGCTGTCAAAATTCTGCTACTTTCCTCCTGGATTTTGAAATGAAATCTTGATTTACTGTTCCCAGTTCAATTCAGTCAAGCTGCCTTCTCCCTTGTGCTTTTCTTCCACCTGAGAGTTCTCCTCTTGCACAGTCTTGCTGTATTGATGATGATGATTAAAGAAATTGGAGATCAGGTTGGTTTTGTTGTAGATGGTTGTGGGAGTTAGCGGTTGCCAACACTAACATTCATCTGTTTTGTGTGTAAAAGGTGTTTTTACCTCAAAATAATTTTTGACAATTTATTTTCCAGTATCGGCTTAAATTGTGCTTTAGGGGCAGTTGAAATGCGACCATTCATTGAAACAATTGGAAAATGCACAACAGCCTACATCATCTGTTACCCCAATGCAGGTGTGTTGGTAAACAGGTTTCTGTGCCTACAGGCAGAGAAAATGTAACTAAACCATTCCATCTCATTAGCAATAATAGAGTTGAATTAGCTTGAAAAGATGATTGGTTTTACTATTAAGAAGAGATTACAAATATTTTTAACTGCTGAAAGTAACTGTTGTTAGTTCTGTGACAGTGAACCCAGAATGTTCTTGCATAATTAATAATCTATTGAGTAATGATTGCAAAGATGATGAGGCATTTTAGTTCTCATACAAGTGTAGCTACTTTAAATATGTCTTTTATGGAATTTAATTCTGTTTTCATGGGCTTTAAACAAATTGTAATACTAGAAAAATTATGTTTCAAGGTCTTCCCAATACTTTTGGTGGTTATGATGAAACTCCAGAAGTGACTGCCAAGCATATAAAGGTATGAAGTATTTCTTGTGAGTGTGTCATACCTGACATACTAGTAGACAAGAATTCTTCGCTTTTATTTTATGCATTTTTTTTTATAGTATTGGAGGAGAGGGGGCTGGTGGTGGGTTTTATGTTTGTTTTGATTTGCTTTCTTTTCCCCTGCATGGTGTGTTTCTCCCCCACCCCCTCCCCCCAAATGGCTCTATATATCATTTGAATTGTTTATAGACAATTTGCTGAATGGTAGGGATTTGAGATACCAGGTTAGGAAAAACTACTTGGGAAACTCTGAAAACCTTAATTACTTCCATATCCTACACTAAGTAGCTTTCCTGCAGCTTGGCCTGTGGATGTTACTCATTTGCACTCCTATGTTCTTAGTTTTACATTTGGAAATTGTTCAAAAAGCCGATTGCTTTTTATGACTTGCCACAATTTGACAGAGCTGTGTCTAGGAACTGCTGATGTTGGTGGTGTTCCAGTGCAGGGTATCCTTCCACATGCCACTTGATCTGTGCAAGACAGAACTGCATGGCTGGAGCTGCAGCGTGTCAGTGAGAATGCAGTATCTGCTGCATTAGTTGCCCTTTATAATACAGTATGACTAGTCTTTGATAATCATCCAAGTTGTCATCTGGGGCTTCAGTATAAAATAGGCCGGTTTAAAATGTAGTTTTCTAAAATTAGGTGTTGAAATTGCTGGTTAGCCTTGGGAATCCACATCTCAAATCGTATAGAGAAGAAATAGTACTGATTGATTTTTCTAATTTATTTTTTTTATTGTGATCCCCCTGAATTGCTTAACATATGGAGAAAAGAAAAATAAATATGTATCTTAAAAAGAAACATATATGTCTTAAAAAGAAATATATATATAAAAGATACAAAATTCTCTTTATTTTGCTTTGGATGGTTTGGTCAACATAGTTGGAGGTTGCTGTGGTACTACACCAGCACATATCAAGTACGTCATGAGCTACAACTTTAGGTGCACTGGGAAGTAAATTAAGTACTGCTTTTGTGGAGTATTATTCCATGGCTTGCCTTAAAGTTTCCTGAAAAGGTGGATCACTTGAATGCCAGTAGCAGCAACATATGGAGTAGAAATAACCTAGTAGAAATTTCATAGCCATGTGTATTGTGAAGAATGAGTAGAGGCGTAGTGTTCGAGCGAGGATTATACCGCTGCTGTTTTGTCATCTAAAATTGTTTTGGAATGTAAGTGTGTGTGGGAAATTTCAGAACAGAAGATGCAGGAATGGTCTACAGCTGGTGCTAATGCTGGCCAGTCAAAAGGAGAATTTTGTATCTTTCTCACTGGATATAGATCAGTGGGAAAACCTCCTGTTTTCACCTGGTCTTGAAATAGAAGGGGCCCTTGTGATTCATTTTTACCCTGATAAAACTGGAAAGAAGCGATATATGAACATGTTGAGGACAATGTGTGTCGCTCCTGACTGGAGCAAAGAGAAAATGAATGTGAACACCACGAGTCATTCTGGCATCTGAGAAACGTGTCTCTGTACAGAACAACGTTTGTCTCTTTTTTTTCTGCAATCATCAGCAATTGCCTAGCAAATCATGGCTATGGTAAGAGGCAGTGTGGTTGAGGACTGGTTCTGATATCCATCCAGTATCCCACTGGCATAGTATCTCATGTTCTGTATTTGATAAATCTTCAGCTTTTTAAATTCCTGACAAATAGATTTGATAGGATCTTCTAGGAGGTTGTTTGCCTTTTTTTGCCTTTTTTTTTTTTTTTTTTTTTTTTTTTTTTTTTTGCCTTGGACCACACAAAGTGAAACTAGCTAATTAGCCTTTGCTGCTGCAGGGCTAAATTGGAGGTGTAGGTATATGTCTAGTATATTCTGTTTGAGTCTTTTCTCGAGTGGTTTGATTTTAACTGAAGGCTTTCCTCTTTCTGTAACTCAGGGAAATTGCTCAAGCTGTGAAATTCTGTAAGCCTCGAGTTCCACCTTCTCCGTCTCAAGGATACATGCTGCTGTCAGGTAAAATGGAGTGTAACGATTTGAGCTTTATAACTCATGCAACTTTTTTTTATAAATTTATTTGCTGTTTTATGCTAATCAGAATGGCACGCTGAGTTTCTGGTTCTGCCTGAATCCCAAACTTAGAGATGTGTAATCAGATCCTAGTGCTTTGGCCAAAGGATTAATGGAACATTTTATTGCAATCTTATATAATATAACCAAGATAGCATATTTTATTCTGCAAGTCTCAGCCACTTTGTAATGGTGAGTGTGAATATTTATCCTCACTTTGCAACAGAGAAAGACCAAGCACAGAGAGATCAGGTCATTTGACTATAGTTGAGGGCAGAGCTAGGATGAGATCCTTGTTTACGTCCTGTGAGGGGCTGTCCTGTGTTTCCTCAGATGTCAATCCAGTTGTACTGGGACAGGGTTCCAGAAATACATCCAGATGTGGAATGTAATTTGTTTTACCAGAGTCTAGATCTGTATGTTCTTCAGCCAAGCCTGGTTTTAAGCCTTTGGGACATGTATCCAAGTAAAACAGTACCTTCATTTCAGTCTGGTGTTTTAATCCTAAAGTTTAGCACAAATTAAATAAGTCATAGTTGCCCTGTGGTTTTGTGCATTATCTTATTCTGTTCTGCTCTAAGTTTTGTTTGCCTCTGAATTGGCTGCTGCCCAAGTGTCCCAGTTGCCTTGTTTTTCTGAACTTGGGTATGTGGTTAAGAGCTGTCCTTGTTTGTCAGTCAGTTCAGTGGGCTGCTTCTCTGGTGGTGGTAAGGTCAAAGGACAGCACAGTTGAAGTTAAGGGAAGGTGTGTATGTGCATACACATAGATGCCCAAGGCATCGTAGCTTCATGTCATGTTATGTTGGACAAATTGGCTGTTATTTTTTGTGGGTCAGGTAAATTATTGACTGTCACTGAGGAATAACAACCTTTGGCATACGTGATGGGAGTTGTTTCATTGCATTTCTTTGCTAGTTACTCATTAGATGTGCTGAGATGTGTTACATCCTGATGTGCTGAGAAATCGCTATTCGTAGAGACCTCTATTTCACAGTTTAGAAAATAGATTTTTGTCTGTCTTAAATGGTTTTTCTTTTCTGTTTTTACAAGTATGTTCCAAAATATCTTTTTAAGGTCTGGAGCCATTCAGGATTGGGCCATACACCAACTTTGTTAATATTGGTGAACGCTGCAATGTTGCAGGATCACGGAAGTTTGCTAAACTCATCATGGCAGGCAACTACGAAGTATGCATTTTAACAATAATTGTTATAGCTGATACTCTGATTGTTTCATTGCTCCATTGCACTGTTCCTAGTTGTTTGTTTTTCTGGCACAAAGCACTATTCTATACCATTACAAGAATAAGAAAGCAAGGAGAATTCACTTTGTCACTGTCCTCTGCTTCTGTGCTTATCAGCTCCGAATATATTTGTGAAAAGGGTGTTACAGGTAATGTGAATTTCCATTTAGAATTGAGTTACACAGCTGATGATGGTTGTCCTGGTCTGTGCTGTATCTAGGGATGGGTTTACAGAGGAGGGAGGAAGGCTGTGGCTGTAATTACACTTCCAACATGTGGGGTACGTATGACTTGAGATAGATAGTGGCAGTGTGCAGCTCTCACCCCACTTTTCCAGTCCTGGTCATCTTTATGGTTGCATCTAATCTTTATATATTTTGATCACTGTCTCCAGCATGCTACCTGAGAGTTGATACAGAAGAGTTGCTTAGAAAGTAATTGCTTTAGTGAAACAGCTGCAGGGCAGGCTTACTGGTGTAAATTGTTACTGTAACATTCAAACAGATAGTAAAGTGACATTTCTTGAGAGCTGAGACTGCCTCAGAATATGCTGTGCTGTTCTAGTTGATGCAATGAAAATTAAAGACTTCGTGTTTTAGGAAGTCTAACTCTGACGCTCTTAGAAGTAACAAAGCAGGTTAGACCTATTAAATAAAGAGAGTTTTAAACATGGGTTGTTAGGAACTGGGAGCAACTAAAAACCTTTTTCTTTTTTTGTCTCCTCAGTCTGCAGAGTGACAAAAAAAGAAAATGAATGGGTACAGGTGTTCAGATAATTATGTGGGCCAGAGGAAAAGCTTTAGTATTTCCTTTGTAGCACTTGGTGACTATTCTGCAGCTGGAAAAAGTGTTGAACCTCATCCAAAAATTAAGTACTCTATGTTATAAAACAGCAGAGCTTGGAATGCAAGACCCTTATTTCATACCATCACAGAGACTGTTTTCCTGTAATCTTGTGCAGTCATAGTCCTTCTTACCATGCAAATCTTTAATCATTCAATTATGTGTATGACCAGCTGTCTAAAATCAATGACACTACCAGCACGTTAGGTCTCTGTTAGGTCTCAGACTTTTGTGAACAAATTAGTTATCAATTGTGCCATACTAACAACTTCTGTATGTTGTAGTGTATCACAGACTGTTTCCTTATTCTTTTATGGCATGTCTTAAATTTTTTTAAGTTTTTGGCTGCATGCTTATTTTGGAGCACAGAAATATTATTCTGAGAATGCCCAGGTTTTTTTCTACTGACTGTTGTTTTTGTTTTTGACTTTGTTCTTTAGGAAGCCCTGAGCGTAGCCAAATTGCAAGTTGAGATGGGGGCCCAGATTCTTGATATCAACATGGATGATGGGATGCTGGATGGCCCTGCTGCAATGACCAGATTTTGCAATTTAATTTCTTCAGAACCTGACATTGCAAAGGTTGTAATTGAGTCACTCCAAAGCACAATAAAGATCATTTTATTGAGTTGGAAATTGCCTTTCGTAAAATTTTGATACTGATTCATTTAGTAACCAGTTTAGATGTTAATAAGCAGATGTAAGTGTCCCCAAAGAGGAAAAGGTACTGTTACAGAGAAGGCCTCTGGGGATAAGAGAGGTTTTAACATTCTCTCTCTGATTTGAGCTAAATATACACCAGGCTTTTTCACTGGTTGGAAAAGCTGGATGCTAGTTCCTTTTGCAGCAGTTACGAGCCATAATCTATATATTGGCCGTGCATAACAGTATTGCTTTCCACAAAACTCGAAATTGCTCTGGATATAGATGGTTTTAAAAGATACTTCTGTCATGTGAATTTTCTAAAAATGAGTATCTAATTCAGAGACACAAGACAATACATGGAGAAGTAGGGGTCTCTCTGTGATATGTGATGGAGTTGCCATAGAAGCTTGAGTTAAATTTGCTCTGAGTTTAGCATTTAGAGCAAAGTGAATCTACAAATACCATCTGGAGACTCTCTGTTCATAAATGATGATTAATGTTGTGTGCATTTTTATGTCCAAATGGGCAAACAGCATATGGAACACTAATTTGTAACTTGTATGTGTACCCCTGGCTTACTTCTCTGTTATTTACAGGTGCCATTATGCATTGATTCCTCAAATTTTTCAGTGATTGAAGCAGGTTTGAAATGTTGCCAAGGGAAATGCATTGTGAACAGCATCAGTCTGAAGGAAGGTGAGGAAGACTTTTTGAAGAAAGCAAGGAGAATTAAGTTATATGGAGCAGCTGTGGTTGTCATGGCTTTTGATGAAATAGGGCAGGTGAGTGTCGCTTTAAAAGAGTTACTTTCCTTCTGGAGTGCAAGTCTTATTCTTGTGCAAGATGAAGTTGTTTTGTTTCACTGAGTCAGGTGATTCAAAGAAGTCTGTATGGTCTTAGCAGTAGTTTTGACCCTGATATCTAATCATTTTTATGCTGCTCACGTTTGAAGAATCCAAGTACTGTTCTAAGCATAGCTCTGCTAGCACAAGAGTGTATCTCTTGCTATTCAGCCCTTCTGAACTCTTCCTTCCTTCATAGAAGATTTTTTTTTTTTTTTTAGTTCAGAAACTGAGTTTTGCATGAAAGTGGAATCTTTGTGAATTAATTTAGTTATATTAAAAAACAGCTGTTAAACTTTGCATAGGATGATGAAATGAGAAGGAACAAAATAATTTTTAATGAGTTGAGTTAAAACTCCAGGTACAGGTGTGGGGATATTTTTAATACAAAATTCTTATGCAGATAATCCTTTTCTAACATTTGTGATGTGCGGATTCTCAGTCTTGAGTCACTAGAACTACAAATCATTTCTGGCGAGTTTATTTTTGTGTTGTGTGTAAGTTTCATGTCAAAATTCTTTTTCTCCACTAGGCAACAGAAACTGAAAACAAGATTGCAATCTGTTCCAGAGCTTATCACCTCCTTGTGGAAAAAGTGCACTTCAATCCAAATGATATCATATTCGACCCTAATATTTTGACCATAGGAACTGGAATGGAAGAACATAACCTTTATGCCATTAATTTTATAAATGCTACTAAAACCATAAAAGTGAGTTGTAAGCTTATTTAACTTGAAGTATTTTGCTGAGATTACTTAAAAATCCAAACCACCCCAAAACAGAAAAACACACCCCATCCCCAAACAACCACAACAAAACACTGCTGCAAAATGATATGCATTTTAAATTAGGAAGGGGGGCTATTTCTCTGAGTAGGCATTTCCCAGTATTGCTGTATTTCCAGTAGGAGAACTTCAGATAGTTCTATAAATACATTTCAATCAGTTATCTCTACTATAAATACCCTATATTAATTGAACGAGGTAAAAATCACATTCATGTTCTAGCTAAAATGACCTCTTTGAAGGTATGTGAAAGCTAGCTGCCTTTTTAAATTAATAAAATTTCTGTGGAAGGGATTTGTGCAGTAACCTGACCTTTTATTTAGTCAAAATGTGTGTAAGGAAGTACAGCAGTGAAGAGCATCACCTGAAAACAGCCAAGGAAGCTGTGCTGTTGTGTTTGACAAGGCAAATTGATTGGTCTGCTGATGCTCTGTCAGTAGCAGTCTGGAGCTTAAACACCCCAGAGGCCATTTTGTCACCACAGGGCTTCTGGAAGGGAGGCTACACCCTTGATGTTAGCTGCTCAGCTAGGGCCTGCTCCTGAGACATGCAAGCAGGTCAGCTGCTTCTGTTTCCAGAGGAGCTGGGGGGTGGAAGAGGCATAAGTAGGTCTGCATGGGGAAAATATGGAATGCTGCTGTGGGAGGACTGGTACATTTAGATTAGCACCTATGACTATGAAAACCATGGAAGCTGCTTACACATAACTAGGCTGGATCTTTCCTTCTAGTTGTATCTTTTCTACAGAGATTTGAATTGCTTTTTATGAATTTGAGTAACTAGAAGGATCTGGAACAGGTAAGAGAGAAATGGTGCATAGCCAATGCACTGCAGCTCAGGGGCCAACTGGTTTATGGACTGAATGCTTTGCTTAGGTTTAATTTTTGGAAAGCAGTTTTCTAAAAATTTGTGGGCAACTCCTATAGGAAACACTGCCGGGAGCCAGGATAAGCGGAGGTCTTTCCAATCTGTCTTTCTCCTTTCGAGGAATGGATGCCATTCGAGAAGCAATGCATGGGGTGTTCCTTTACCATGCGATTAAGGTACAGTGTTCTTTTGGCTTCTGTATGTTTGCACTTTGCAGATGTGCAGTGCTGTGGCTGGCAGCCCTGGTTGGAGGATTCTTCATGTTTGGGTTTTTTTCTAGTATGGCATGGACATGGGAATTGTGAATGCTGGGAATCTGCCAGTGTATGATGATATTCACAAGGAATTACTACAGCTGTGTGAGAACCTAATCTGGAACAAAGATCCTGATGCAACAGAGAAACTCTTACAATATGCTCAGGTAACCTTCAGTGTTAAACTTTGAATAGCAGATAGCTTAGCACCTGGGCTTTAGCACCTCCCTGCTAATGAGCGGTACAACAGCCTATAAACTGCATGTATCAATCTAACAGTGGGGGTTAGAAGTTACTAATGATACTACAAGTGGTTCAGTTATTAGTATAAAATAAAATCTGAACTGTGTGATAGATTGAGCCTCTCCAATTTCATGGGTGCCTTTAAAGATCTTGCACCAGAGTTCTTTGTATGTTTCAGGAGACCAAGCTGCCTAGGTGTTCTTTTTTAAACAAAAAACAAACCAAACCCAAGAACAGTAAGAAGAAAAAATCCAAATCAAACTTCCTAAAAAAAAAAACCAAACCAAAAAAACAACCAAACAAACAAAAAAGCAAACACACACAAAAAAAGAAAGCAAAACCCAAACAAAAAACCCAAAACAAATAAACCCAAGCAAACAAAGAACCCCAGAAAAGGCTGACACACAACTGAAGCAAGTCTTGGTGCTGAAGATCAAGTGACAAGAACATTGTGGGAGACAGAGTAGACCTCTCTATTTGTAAGGGTTTGCTTAAATTATATGTAAAAGGTAAAAGTAGTTGCTTGCGTTTCCTGGCTATGCTGTAGACTTCCAGTTCATGTGACTTGTGTCAAGAATGAAGATCAGCTGTTTAGTGTTTTCGTGATGCTGAAATGGTGGTGGTGATTAAAAGATTGCACACCTGAAGGTTTCCTGATTATCCAGATGTAAGGCGACTGGTGAAATCCTGTTCTGAAGAGAGCATATAGCAAAAATCTTTCTGAGTTAGGTGGCTCTTAGATTTAAGTGCATGAGAAGGTTTGCATGCCTGTTTTGTAGCTCCTGGAGGTATTATCTCTGTGCACAGAGTCATTTTGGCTTGTAGTTTGCCCTATAGTGGTGCATGCTTTATAGGAACAATGGCAACAGTTGAAAACCAGTATGTGAAAACTCTCCCTGTCCTTGTGGTTAGGCTATTTTAGATGGTGCTCCTAGTGTCTAATCAATTCACTTGGGAGTGATCTCGTCTGTGTAAGCAGAGTTTTACCATTAGGGTATTCAGGGTTGCATAAAGAGGACGGCAAAAAAAGAAGGGGAACTAGAAGGGGATTGCTTAAGTGGTGTTTCTGCAGAAGGCAGAACGTGAATTTAAATGGAGCATGAGAAGTAGAAATGAAAATGGATGATGGCTCCTTCTAGGTCTAGAAGTTTTGGAAACCATTGTTGGAATCTCTGCTCTTATTCATTGTGGTAGTTTTACTGTGGGAGTAAACCAGCCCCCACCTGCAAAAAAGACAGACGCTCTTGATTTGAAACATCTTTAAAAGCTCTATTAAAATGTAACACAAAATATTACAACTTTCAGGTTTTCACTGTAGGTAATTGTCACAAGTTGGGTTTCATCTTGGCTCTGGACAAATTTGAGCATCCAAATAGATAGTCATAGCCAGTGAGAAGGATTATTACATAAGGTTTTGGAGTTTGAGGCATATTTCAAAATATTTATTCAGACTTTCCTCTGATAATAAATTGAATGGCTCCAAGTTCTTTTGTCCAAAAGTTTAGGGTTCTTTCTTTGTTTGGGTTTGTTTTTTTTCCCAACACACAAGTATATTCATTGGTCAGTAAGCGCGTATGTTCTTTTTATTTCCAATCACTGCAGTTCATTCTGCACAAAGAACATAGTACGTACAGTCCCATTTCAAGTATTGCACCTCTAATAGAGTGTCAGTGAAGTTTGCCTTCTAGATCCATAATGGACAATAGTAGTCAACCTTGCCAGTTGTTTGAAGGCTAGACCTTTGGGGAAAAATGAGGAACTTAATCTTTGCAGTTTTAGGAGATCAGTCTTGATATGAAGTTGAGATTAAAAAGCATCTTCCATGAAGTGTATAGCTCTGGACATTCTCAAGCTAAAACTTTGTCCCATTTATGGCCATTGTGCTTCCAAAAGCAGGTTTTTTTGTCCTCAGCATGCAGTATAATTACTCTGTTTTAAATATCTGCACGTAGTGCTTGCCACTGTGGTTTCTGCATGCCCACCCTATAGCTTCCTGGTTTATTTTTGGGTTGGAATGGTTGCCTTGGTGAGTCTGGCCAGAGGCTGAGGAGCAGTTGGTACTTTTTCATTGAATCACAGATGGGGTGGGGTTAGAAAGGGACCTCTGGAGATCATCTAATAAAGGCCCCTTGCTCAGAGCACGGACAGCAAGAGCAGGTTGCTCAGGGACATACCCAGTCGAGTTTTTATTGCATCTAAGCATGGAGACTCTACAACCTCTCTGAGCAACATTTTCCTCTGTCTTTCATTCTCTTTTTACAAACTAGACCTATGAGAGGAGTAAGGTTTGGCAATGAGAAGCTGTGAAGTTAGCTAGCATTCATCTAAACATGAATGAAAACTTGTTCTGGTTTCTGTTCCCATGAGTGAGATCTTGCTTCTGTGAGTTTTCCCAAGTCTTTAAAAACTTGCTGATGAGCACTTAAGAGTATAGGAGGTTCATAAGGACTGAAAGATGTCAGATTGTGTTGAATAATGGAGCGAGGAAAAGAAATTACTTGCCTGAAGTGTGGTGGGTGAAGTAATGGATAGAGTGCTCTTCCATGAGCCTTCCTGGGGTGGGTGCTCACAATCCTTCCTGCATTGCGAAGCCCTTTCGACCTCTGCATTCATAGCAAAGGTGAGTGTGAGGGTTTGGCCAGTCTGTGTGCATGAGAAACAGTAGTTCTTCTGGCTGCTTGATTGAAAACACATCTGTGATATGGAATAACATAACCTATTCCAGCAGAAACTGAATTAGTGCCAAATTAATTAGAATGTAGTGTACTGTGTGGGCCAGGAATCAATTTAAATTATATTTCCCAAAGTAAAACCCTTAGAATTAGTCATTTCATCATTTTTAAGAGCGTGAAAATTAAACTGCTCCTTTTTTTCTTTTCAACTTTTGTTATTTTTTTCTTCATATGAGCTATATACTTTCTGGCATATAGACCCCCTAAGTGTCCATAGTATATCACAGACATTTGCAATATGATTTGCATGTATATAAAAAACCACTCGAAATTATCCTCAGTTTTCTAAAAGTAAAGTCTATAGTCATACTTTATATGCTCTCAAGCTCTTACGGATGTCTTTCCTTTCCAGAATCATGCCCAAGGAGGAAAAAAAGTAGTACAGACTGATGAGTGGCGGAAAAGCTCTGTGGAGGAAAGGCTGGAATATGCTCTCATAAAGGTGAATCTGTGCAGAAAAGCCTCCTACCAGTCAGCTTTGAGACATGATCTCAGCTCAGACGTTAAGGGACATTTTTTGCTTTAGCAATTATTCAGCTGCCATTCTTTAAGAAGCTATTAATTAATAATGAGTAATATATTTAATTAACTGCAATAACAGAGAAAATTGTGGTGATTTGTCTTTGAATATCACAAGTTGAAGTCTTCGACACTTAATATTTTATCCTGCTGGTGTAGTAGAAACATATTGCTTTTACTTTCTAGGGTTTCTTTTGGTCCTTTACCAGCCCTTCACTGAATGGCACTTGTGCTGAGAAAGCAGTCTTTGAATGTTTGTGTTTTGTTATGGCATGGTTAAGAAAAACAAACCAACCTGTTAATACTGGCTACTTTTGCCTTGAATATTTATATATGTGTAAGAACTACAGTGTTTTGTTTCCTATGAAAACCTATTTTAAATACACATTTGAGGTATTCTTAAGGACTAGCAGTATCTAACATATCTTTTTGTACTTTTGTTATGCTTTTTTTGGGGGGGGGAGAAGGCAGCTAAATAAAAGCCGTATTTCTAGCAAGATAAAAGCTTCTCTTTTTCATATTCC